TTACGCCGCTGGGATAGAACATACCTTTATGCAATGGAGCGCGTCCATTCGGGACCGACTTGTAGTCAATGAGGACCACTACCCTACCGACGTCTCGAGAAGAGCGTTGATATGGGGAACTACGACCGGCCTGGCAAAGAAATATCTGGAACCCCAATACCTATCGGATACGCATGGCTTCCAGAGCGCAGACGAAATGATGGACCTATTAGGATCATATTACCTTACGGGTAATGAGACCGAACAGGCCCGGAACGAATTCGACGATATGCAGATGGGCGAAAAGGGTCACTTACACGAAACCTTCCCCGAGTTCAAAGCCCGCTTCCAAAGTGCGGCGATTACGGGACAAGTATCACAATCGGAGTGGTTTCGGTATATGTGGAACAAGCTCACACCGCAATTCCGCAGCCGCGTGGCGGTCGTGAAGGACCAATGGAAAGGCGATTACCTCACCATGGTCCGAGCCTTAACCGCCTTCGACCAAGAGCGACGCAGGAACGGCGAGTTGAGCTCCCAGTCCAAGAGCGGCGAGTCGAGCTTCCCAGGACGGGCCCGCCTCGGCTCATCCAGGTTCCCGCCTGTGGAGGCCGCCAAGACCCAACCACCGAAGACGACAAGAAGTCCGTTGGGTTCCTTCCAGAGGACTCCTTTCATACCCACCGCCCCCAAGCCGGACATAACAGGTCGCGTGCGGACCGCCGTGCCGGCTGCGTCTGGAAACTGTTTCAAATGCGGGAAGCCCGGTCATTTCCAGGACAGGTGCCCGCTCAACCCCACAGTCAAAGAGATTGACCGCGATACCCCTGAACCCGAAGAGCAGTGGGAGGAGGCAGTCGAACTCCAATCGGATGCGTCCCTGGAGGAAAACGACGAGGCCTAGGGAAAGGCTCCTTCCTAGGTCTACGCAAATGTGATCTGCGAGATCTCGACCTACAAGAACTCTTGGGCGGAACCCAGTTCTTAGTCGACACGACGCTGAGTCTGAACGGACTCGGTGTGCAAACGAAGGCTCTCGCAGACACAGGAGCAAACGGATACCTCGTCATCAACAAGCCCTTCGCGCTACGACTGTCGAAGGCGCTTCAGAGCCCCATACGGAAACTGCCCTACTCTGTACCCATACGTGGTTTTCAGCGAAAAATCCAAAGTCACGTATCGGAGTATATTCGGTTGCACTTAACAGTCGAAGGACGCCGAATATATAACTGCCCCTTTGTGCTCCTGGACCTCGGAGCGCAAGATGTGATAATTGGGAGGAAGCTTTTCAGCCGCTTCCGAATACTACTCGACTCTGCAAAGAGCCGGCTAGTATGGCCAAAGGAGTACCCGCCTACTCCTAGCTGGAGCAAGGAGATCACCTTGCCCTACCACTCGCGCGAAATGTCCATTCGACATCCTTCTCACCAGTCGGATGCGAATCGTAGGGATGCCGCAATCCACCACGAAGACAGACGCCGCGCAGGCGGACGCTCGATGGAAATGAAAGTGATAATTTCGGACTCCGGAATGACCACCGACACTGCCCCGAGTACACCTCAGATCCCAGGGGTACCTTTCTTGCCACCGGCGAAGCCTGTACAAAGCTTCACGCCGGTGCACATCTGCGAGATCGGTGCAAACGCCTTCCACCACGAGATGATGCGAAGCGATGCCGAGTTCTTCCAGACCAGCCTTTACGAGATCGATCAGATCATTCGGGAAAAAGAATCCGAAGAGGATGACGAGACGATATCACTCATCCAGGAGAAACTCCCGCCTGTGCACCGAAAGTACACCGACGTCTTCTCAAAATCGGAATCTGATAAATTACCACCACACCGGGTATACGATCATAAGATACAGCTAGAGGCGCCGTTACCAAACGCTTTCTCCCCGCTCTACCGGCAAGGCACCAAAGAGCTTAAGGCTACCAAGCAATACCTGCTGGAGAACCTGGAGAAAGGCTTCATCGTCAATAGCAATAGCCCCTTTGCGTCCCCTATACTCTTCGTTAAGAAAGCGGACGGCAAACTGAGGTTCTGCATTGATTACCGCAAGCTGAACGGACTCACCCGCAACGATCCGTACCCTATACCGCGCATCGACGAACTACTTGGACGGGTGTCGAAAGCCAAGATTTTCACGAAACTAGATATCCGACAAGCCTTCCATCGCATACGAATGCACCCTGACTCCGAAGAGTATACTACCTTTCGGACTCGATATGGATCTTATAAGTGCAAGGTGCTGCCGTTCGGACTGACCAACGGCCCCGCAACGTACCAGCGCTACATGAACGACGTCCTCATGCAATACTTGGACGACTTCTGTACGGCTTACCTCGACGACATTCTCATATACTCCGAGGACCCTACGGAACATATAGAGCACGTACACAAAGTCCTACAGCGCCTTCGTGAGGCAGGGCTACAAGCCGACCTCAAGAAGTGCGAGTTCAATGTTACCCGAACTAAGTACCTGGGTTACATACTGACCACTTCCGGTGTCGAGGCGGACCCCGACAAGATCGAACCCCTTCGAAACTGGATTCGACCGACCACCGTTACCGGTGTGAAATCCTATCTAGGCTTCTGTGGGTTCTACCGCCAGTTCATACGCAATTTCGGGAAGATCGCGAAGCCCCTGACTACCATCACGAGCCCCTCGGAGCCGTTCCTATGGACTGAGGAATGTGAGAACGCCTTTGAAGAATTACGGCGGCAGCTACTAGCGGTGCAGGCACTACACCACTTCAACCCCGAATTGCCTACGAAGCTAGAGACCGACTCTTCAGACGGAGTCGTCGCCGGCGTGCTATCACAAGAGCACCCGGACCAGCTCTGGTACCCAGTGAGCTTCTACAGCCACGTCCTTACCGGCCATGAGATCAACTGGGAAATCCATGACAAGGAACTCTTCGCCATCGTGAAAGCGTTCGCGAAATGGAGACCTGAGTTGGCCTCTGTTACGCAGCGAGTCGAGGTGTATACGGACCACCGCTCGCTCGAATACTTCATGACGACGAAGGTTCTCACCGCGAAGCAGGTGCGATGGATGGAACTACTATCCGACTTCAACTTCCACATTACGTATACGGCAGGTAAGAATAACCTGAAGGCTGATATTCTGAGCCGAAGAGACCAAGACCTCGTAATGCAACAGAAAGTCAAGTTGGATAGTCGTGCGAGGGTGTTGCTTGGCCCTGCCCGCCTACACCCCCGTATCAGTGCCGAGTTGGCCGACAGTTATGTAGCATCGATCAATGCCATCGACCCCCCAAAGGCGCAGATGCCCTTCGATCTGATCGAGGCACTATGCGTAGACAACCGGAAGTCGTTCGCCGAGACACGCGCGAAACAACCCTTACCGGATGGGTACGCCCTAGCCGACCAACTCCTCCTGTACAAAGACCGCCTATGTGTGAACCGCCACACCGAGCTGTGTACGAAACTCATCCGAGAGGCGCATGACCAGGTGTCGACGGCGCACCCCAGCGGCCGGAGGACCTACCAGTTGCTTGCCCAGAAGTATCGCTGGGTCGGTATGGAAGCGGACTGCATACGGTATGTGCGTAACTGCGCGACATGCCGCCTTTCGCACACCAATGTCACAAAGCAACAGGGCTTTCTACACCCCCTACCGGTACCCGACTACCCTATGCAACACCTTACGATGGACTTCAAGGAGTTCCCAAGGGACAAGCACGGGTACGACAGCATCCTAGTGTTTATGGACCGCCTCGGGAAGAGTTCGGTGACCATACCGTGTTATAAGACTACAGATGCACGACAAATGGCGCAGCTGTTCATCGAATGGATATATCGATTCGGGCACACCCCGGTATCGATCGTCAGTGACCGCGGACCCCAATTCGTGTCATCCTTCTGGCACGAGTTCTGCCGGATCATCGGCGTCAAGATCAAGCTGTCGACAGCCTATCACAAGCAGACCGACGGGCAGACGGAAATCATGAATCGGTATATCGATCAGAGACTGAGGCCCTTCGTATCACATTACCAGGACAACTGGAGCGAGCTCATTCCCATCATGGATCGGGTGCAAATGACCCTTCCCCATGCCTCGATCGGAATGACCCCCTACCGACTCAAGTACGGAACTGATCCGCGCACCAGTTGGGACTGGGAAACCCTGAAAGCCACGACCCCTAGGGAAGTCATGAACCAGAAGGAAGCCAAAGCAGTAGCAAACCGCATGCACTCCGCATGGATTTACGCAAAGGAGAACATGGCCAAAGCACAAGAGGATATGTCTAAATACGCGAATCGACGCCGACGAGCCATTGACTGGGACGTAGGAGACAAGGTTTACCTATCGACCAAGAATCTGAAAAATCACCGCCCTAGCCGTAAGCTGGGGCAACAATGGGTCGGACCCTATACGGTACTGGAACAAATCGGACACGCCTTCCGACTAGACCTACCGAAGGGTTCCCAAATACACGATGTCTTCTCTCCAGACGTACTCATCAAGGCTCCGAATAACCCGCTGCCCGGTCAAGCAGCGCCTGAGCCAAGCAGCAAAGTCGTAGACGGCCTAGAGGAGTGGGAGGTCGAAAAGATCCTCGCCGTAAGGATCCGGCGAAAACAACTTCAATACCAGGTATCCTGGGTCGGATACGATCCGGACCCGGAATGGTACCCCGCCTCAAACTTTAAGAACTCCCCCTACAAAATCCGGGAGTTCCACGCGGAGTACCCAAACCTGCCAGGACCACCGCAGGACCTACCCGGCTGGATCACGGAATGGGAGACAGGCAAACCAAGCTACGATCACGAGAGGCACGGCAAAGCAGAGGAAAACAGCGTCGTTGCTACCTACGACACTAAACTAAACACCCTCTAAGCCAGGGCACCCTCAGAGCCGTAGCCCTTGCGGAAGCCACCCTTCCCAAACGTCTCACCGGCGTCGCAACAAGCGGCTACCACCATGAGAGACGAAGGGTCGAAGTGACCCCACGCGAAAGACCACGCCCGAGTTCCCTCCGGCACAGGGCCCGTTCACCCAATCGGGTTCTCCCCATTCCCCTCCTCCTCCTCCCCCCTCTTCCTCTTCCCGCCATTGCGGGGAGCCACCGCAACAGCCCCGGCCAACTTCCCCACCGCCTTCTCCACCTTCGCGACCGCAGTCGCCACGAAGCTCACCTCCTTCCCCACCTTGTCGGTGGTTTTATCCACCGTCCCCAGCAAGGAGACGGCGCGGGCCTGCCCCGCGAGGAGCTTCCCCGTATCCTCCTTCAACCCCTCCACCGCGGCGGTGAGGTCCTACCTAGGAGTCAGACCCAGAACAAGAACAACAGAAAGGGGAAAACTTACCTTGATGGCAGCGAGGGTGGCCAGCCCCTGAATGTACTGCGCCCCCTCAAAGGGGGAGCGCAGGGCCGGCATGGCGGCGCTGGAGAGGTCGGCCACGCGCGCGACCTCCTTGTAGGTCTTGAGGGTGGTGGCCGGGACGGGAGGGGTGGCCGCTTCGGCGGCGACGATGGCGGCATATTCCTCCTCGAGGAACCAGAGAATCTATCCCCCAGAAAGTCAGCACAGGAAACCAACCACCAGACCGAACAGCACCCGAGAACTCACCGGCACACATGGTGCCTTCTGCTTCACGCAGTAGGCGCACTTGGAGCTTTTCTCGCTCCAAACGCACTCGTGCTCCATGGGAGCATCGTCGGGTGTCCCAATACGGCGCACGCATCTCATACAGAGGACGCGGTACGCAGCCGGGAGGGCCCCGGGGGGCAGCAGGACGGGCATCTTCGCGAAAAGGTTTCCTACAAAACCGTCAGCCCCAAGCCCAGAAGTTATCACCTACGCGTCGGCGCGCAATCATCACCTACTCGGTCGTCTGGTTTGTTTTGTTTCCTATGAAACAATCAGATTAGTATACAGTATACGAACAAGAGGGGCTACTTACTGGATTCGGGAGGTGGGTTCGTAGGCGGTGTTGTTGTAAAAAGAAGCCTTCGAATCCTGGGTGGAATCGGTTGCTCCATAACAACCGCTTAGAACAATGAATTTCTGAGGAGTAGTAGCGCGCGCACAGTAACTAAGAAACTCGCGACGCGCAACACCACAACTGGATACTATACGGTGCCAACTCGGACCTCAACAACCCGCTTTTATTAGGAACAAAGCACGCTCCGCGATCCATCCCACGGACGCATTCAGCACCACGATCTTCGAACAAAGACTACCTAGACCATACCGACACTCGGCTACCATTCGGTCGGCACACGGAGCCACGCGCTTTGAGGACAAAGCACTCTCTCAAGGGGGGGGGTAATGTAAGGATGCCTCCTTACACGGGGTACCCTCGGACCCGTAAGACAACGCGGAATAGGCGACATAGTAGTATAGCAGCATAGATGTTCTAGGGTCGGGGTCGATTCGGGCGGCAGACGGGAGTGGATCTACCGGTACACTAAGGCCTAGCCGAGTCGGACCCCATTTAGGTACATAAGGGGTAGGAAGCTATAAGCTCCCCTTTCATCTTTTTTGTATCCTTCGTAGTAGACCTATAGGATTGCACCGACTCATATCCGACTCGCACTCCCATATGCCACTTCTCGTGATACGGTGCCCTGCGTCCTTACAAAAGGAGTGTAGTTCTCTCATTTTCCAAGACTTTCCATGACTAACCAGGCTTGGTAAATGTATTAGAAATCAAGTGCGACCCACAACTAGCTTGCTAATCATGTAGTTGGTTCCTAGCCTATAGGAAGTGAAAAGGAGGTCCAAGGTCAGAGTACCTATAGACAAATTATGTCATAACTTAACCAATCTTGTGGGTAACTAAGGAGCGATGACGTGTAATTAATCATAGAGGGTTGTAGAAGCTTCTAGAGCTATCGGTCATGTTCCTAGGCCTCTAGTTGGTAGAGATATGCCATGTGGTAGTATTGGCCCACCCCCTTAAGGAGGAGATTTTCTTAATAACTTGTTCAATGAGTGTCCAAATGATATGCCGTGATGTATGTAGCATAAACAGATGTAGTAGAAGAGTTTGCAGCAATCGTTGAGTAGTATTGCTTCTGTTGTTGGTGTGATAAGCCAAGATATGTATGGTGACTTGTAGGTTTGAGGAGGAGATTTCTAAGTTTGCTCTTGAGTTTGATAGCAAACTGAGTGCAACGAATGTCAGTATGACAGTACTGGCATATCGAGGCTAAGCTGCTTAAACTCAATATTTGCAGCTTCACATTGCTTTTTTAAGGCATCCTTCCATTGTCGTCGGTTGCGAAACACATATATATGACGCCGAAGTTTGCTAAGAACAGCTACTGACTCATTTTCTGGTAGCGGGCAGCTCCATACTCAAGGCGGTATGCGTTTGGCTCATCTGCTGGTACTGCCTTTAACGATGTTAAAGCAGCTTGAACAGCAAGGTTTATAATGTGCCCAATACATCTGACATCACCTTCTTTTGTTGTATATGCCCATGGTTGCTGTAATGTAGTTTCGTTCTTGCATGCTAAGTTCTCATATTCTGAGAGCATGGTAGTGTTTGCAGAAGCGTTATCACGAGTGATAGTAAAAACTGCAGGAGTAATACCATAGTCGTCTGTAACAGCTATTAACTGCCCTGCAAGATATTCACCAGAATGGATTGGCTCTTGAAGCTCAATAACATCTAAGACTGTACATCGTAACTGCCACTTATCAGAGATCCAATGTGCTGTTACTGCAGCATATTCAGAATAGTTGCGTGCAGACCAAGTATCAGTTGTTAAAGATATCCGTCCACCTTGTGCAGTATGCTGCTGTAATTCAAGTTGTAACCTTGCTTTATGAATGCAAAATATCTGTTGCAAGTCTCTTGCAATTGTCGTCCATCCAGTTACAAGTGTTGTTGGATTTAAATGGCTAACAAGCTGCCAGAAGGATAGACTCTCAGATGTATGCAATGGTAGGTTATTAGACACAATAAATGAGAGTAGAAGCTCTCTAAATTTTGACGAATTTGGTGCATGGCTAGGTACTTTGCGAGGCTGGAAGAATGTAGCTGTAGTTGAAGAAGAAGGCTGTGTATCTCCGTCTTGAACATGTTTTTTCTTATATTGTGCATGTATTGCTGGATATTGTGTCTTTAAATGCTTCCAAAGATTACTCGTTGTCTGCATCTTTGTAGGTTGTGATGGTGTATATGTGCAATGTGGCTGCAAGCACTTAAATGATATTCTTAAAGGTGCATTATCAAGAATAGTACGAGAGTATAGACCCTTTGCAAAGAGGATTGAGTCAGAATCTGGTAACAGTTGGTCTTGAGGCCGTACATGCATGCGTACAAGTGGTAGGGGCAAGAGTGGATCTTGAGAGGCATTCTCATATTCGCCCGGGTCGTCTAGGGGCGGCGGTGATAGCGAAGACTCGCTCATCTTGATGATGGTAAGTATCACAGTAATATTCAAGTCATTGAAAGCTTCACTTTGCCTATGCTATAATTCTGTCTACGTCCTTACCCCGCTCTCTTGGCTGTCTTGGCAACTACTCGAGTACTACTCGAGTAGTTCAGATTTCTTCGAGTCGAGTACTACTCGGGCAACACTGGTCTACATTCTTGGCTGCCTCAATAGCATAAGTGTTCTCGTCGACCTCCGTGGTACATGTCCTTCTGGAGCTCCCCGGTTCTATAGTGCGGCGACGGATGAAGTGATCACCACGGCTTCAAGCTGTGAGCCGGCCTGCTCTAAAGCAGAAATGAGGAGAGTGTTTGTGCCGCCAATAGCTGGCATTGAGGGTCTCGTTGAGCTTGGATGGCGATGAGGGGACGAGGACGGGAGACCTATGACGATGGAGGGATAGATAGTGATAATGGAAAAGGAGCTCAACAAGACAACATCGCTAGCAGCGGCATCGGCCCAAACCAAGGCATCGCCGATATCTTGTGCACGCAGTATCCCGAGCACAAGAATATCTCGATCGGTGACCCCGAGACGGGTTATTTGTTCAAGAAGGATGCAAATGGCAGGATTGTCAAGATCTCGAACTTTCCCGGCATGTCGCGTATTTCGGGGCAGAAGGCGGTGGAGGCGACTGGGAAGGAATGGATCAGCTTTCCCCAGAGTATTTTGGATACAGCCAAGGCCTTGGAAAGCTTAAATGGGGGGGCTACATGGCTTAGCGATGGGACTGCAAATGCAGATATAGACCATTATCAAATTCAAGACCTCAATGAGGAACTATAACGTAAGTCATGGCGTAACGCGGGGGATGGCGTAACGCGGTGGAAATTTGAAGAGAACACAACAAATCTGTAAATTTAACTACAATCAACGATAATACATGATCCACCGTCACTCTTAGATTGTTCCCCTGCTTCTTCCTCAATATACTCGTCAATTTAAATGTCTGAGGAGGCGTTCTTATCCTTTGTTTTGCGCTTTTTCTTACTTGGGTTATGTGTCACCTTTTCCGCCTCCATCACCGCATCACACAACTCTTGCATAGAAACATGAAAGTGACCCTTCAGAATAACCCTTTTCCCCTTCGTACGTACCGTACGTTGCTTTATAACTGATCGCAGGTTGTTGGCATCGAGTTGGTGGACAATGCTGCGTGCTCGAAGTTGCTCTGACGCAACTGAGTTTTTGGATGTACGTCCGCACTGGTGTTGACAGCACCCCACCACTATTAATCGTAGTTGTAAGAAGCACATTTGCAGAGCGTAAGGTCATCCCATCTGGGGGGGAGCTGTTGATAAAGACTCGGTCAAAAATATCATACTGATGTGGTGTTTTTGGTCGGTCAGCCTCGACTGATGGTTCAGCATTGAGCAGCATACGCAATGCTCGCTGGGGATTAAAAGGAAACAAGCCAGCGCCATGGTATGCTGACTCAATGTTCTGATGGTTGCATACATCAAGCCGTGCCTGGATGTATGCCTCCATCCATTCATACTTCTGTATGCGCGCAAGTTGCGCTTGGTTGAGTGGGGAGTGTCAGACGCTTTTTTAGCGGGCCGAATATCGCAACATCCAGTGGTTGTAGTAAGTGCGATGTATGAGGGGGAAGTATCAGTAATACAATATGGTTCTGCATGCAATGCGCAATGAAACTCCCGCTAATGTGTGAGTCGTGGCCATCACATATAAGAAGCCGGTGCTGACCATCTGCTTTTGTACGTGTTGTTGGCTCAAAGATGCGTTTTAACCACTCCAACCCATGGAGGTTGCTTGTCCAGCCTTTCGTATTCGCAGAGAAGAACCACTGGTCGATGACTGCGGTGTTACGACGGAACAAGAAGGCTGGCCAACTACAGGACAGGAAGGAGGGAGGTCGCATGAGACCGGCCCTGGTACCTGGAGGGGCAGCGGGGAATAGTAGTTCCGAAAGTATCACGTGACGGACTCGCAGGATGATGAGAAGAGTCCTAAGAGTCCAGGACTCCGAGGACTCGAGTGAGTTCCCAGGAGTCCACTAGGCACGTGATGGACTCGCAGGATGATGAGAAGAGTCCTAAGAGTCCAGGACTCTGAGGACTCGAGTGAGTTCCCAAGAGTCCACTAGGCACGACGCCACTATATAAGTAGATAGTATTTCCTTAGATAGGAGCTTCGTGCTCAACTCAATACAGTATTTGTTATATACTAGTAACGTGTTACTTGAAGCCTTTGTGTCTGATCCCCTGCCTCCTCTGATAAGTAAACCTTTACGCAAGAGAACCTCTGTGTCTTCTATCGTTTAGAAGTCAGCGTTACATGCGGGCGGAATCCATGATTGGAGAACGTTCTTGCCCTTAAAGATCCCGAGGGGTGGGAGGATGTACAGGTCGCTATTGGGCGACGGATCGAAACTGTACACATGGATGGTGCAACAAAACCAGTGCTTACGGCATGGTTTAACGCGTACACCAAGGTGGTTCAAGAGTTTGGAATCACGCAAGAGAACACATATAACATGGATGAATCCGGATTTTCGATTGGGACAATGGAATCTACTTGGATTATACTTGATTCACCGCTTCGTACGAAGCATCAAGCGCATCCTGGCCGTCAGGAATGGGTTTCGATGGTCGAGTGCATCTGCACAGACGGAGGGGATGTCGTTGTATGAATCGTGGTACCCAGTCGCGACCGAGGGAAAATCGTGGTTGGGGTAGAAGTAAGTTTGGCGTCGTGTCGTCAAAATTGAGTGACCGGTGCGACCGGAGTTCTTCAGCTATTTCCTTCAACAACCGATGCCCTGGAGAATAGCCGCTGATTGTTAGGTTTTTAATCCACTTTAGAAGTATCTGTTCTTGCGCGCCTGATAAATTCTACTGTTTCTGGCGGGCTTGGGAGCGTGTCAAACCTCCATTGACGCGTCGCGTCACTGAACTCTTCTGCAGCCCCAGCACTTTCTCAGCGTGATATGCACTCTTATACTTCTTAGATTGGACGTCTAATACTGCCTGGGCTATTAAAGTTTTACGCTCAGCAACACCCAGGCTTTTACAGCGAACCATTGTTGAGTTATTCACAGTTATCAGAAGTCGGCGGGGTGAATTCCCCGCGTTACGCCATCCCCCGCGTTACGCCATGACTTACGTTAGTCCTCATGTCGCCTAAAAATCTGGAAAGTTCTGTGCGTAGCAGTAATATTCACAGAACCTGTAGTGCAGATGAAGTCGTCGGGTGGATCAAAACCTATCAGTTTAAATTGCTTGCACACTTTCTTCAGACTTTTAGGCATCGCAACTTGCAACTATAGTAAAATTTTAAATCAGATTAGGTTACTTCACAGCCCATGGCTATCATGCTTGTACTAATATCTCTTAACACTTCCGGACCATTTCTCACATGTAGATATCCATCCTCCACTCCGGGCTTCAGCACTCCGGTAACCTGCGATAATTAGCATGTCGGTGTCAAATATGAGAAATTTACTCTACCTCGTCTACATATTGGCCTACATTTCTTCGTACATCCTCACGAACTGTGGATCATCGCGTCCATTCTAATTTTGTCGATGGCTACATTAATTGATCTATCCGGCAATTCTAGCTGGCGAATGTCCATGACGCGCCATTGGGTATTCAGCTCTGAATACTTTGCTTCCATTGCCTCGATGACTACTGGGGAGAAATCAACACTAGTCTGGTTCGTGTATCCCAGGTTGTAGAGATCGGCTGTCATGGTCTAGAGTTGGCGCACATGTATGTTAATATTGGAATTTCTTTATGAGTATTAAAACTTGGCTCGGTAATGGAAACATACACTATTTCCACAACCCAAATGCAATATATGGTATTTGTTAGAGGGAGCTGGAAGATGTTTTGTGAAGAAAGGGCGTAGCTTCCCAAAGTCACAAAACCATTCATAGGAACCAGGGTCCTCGCCTTGGTTTATCTCTTTCTCGAAGACATAGCGCTGGTTCCAGTAGTCAGGGAGAGTAAGCTCAATAAGCTCATCCTCTGTGGCCATTAAGTAGAGCCGACCTCTAAGCAGAAGAAAGAGATTTAAAGTATAATAGCCGATAACGTGCATGTATAACGAAAGTGCCAAACAAGCGAAAGTGCCAAAATCATGCGGCGACCAACCCCCCCAACTAAATGTTAAATTCCTCCACAACAAAACATGCGCCATAAAAATGATGACAGCAAATTAGTGCTAGCTATCCAAGCTATGCAAAGCGACCCAAATTTGCGCCTTCGAGTTGCAGCTAGGATCTATTTCGTAGACCACCGCAAGCTACGTCACCGTTTACAAGGCGTACCTTCACGACGCGATATCCAAGCCAACTTACGGAAATTAAGTAACCTAGAGGAATCAGTTCTTGTTCAGTATATACTTGACTTAGCTGCTAAAGGGTTCCCTCCTCAGTTGTCTATTGTTGAAGATATGGCAAATCGACTACTTGCAACACGCGACGCGCCACGCGTCGGGTCACGTTGGGCTTCAAACTTTGTTAAGCGCCATGTAGAGCTCCGGACACGCTTCCAGCGAAAATACGACTACCAGAGGGCTAAGTGCGAAGATCCAGAAGTCATTCGTGGCTGGTTTGAGCTTGTATGGAACACAATTCTAAAGTATGGCATCAACAATGCAGATATCTACAACTTTGATGAGACTGGGTTTATGATGGGCGTCATCTCAAGCGCAACGGTAGTAACGAGCTCAGATGGGCGGGCAAAGGCAAAAAAGGTGCAGCCTGGCAATCGGGAATGGGTTACAGTAATCCAAGGCGTTAGTTCTCAAGGTTGGGCAGTGCCGCCATTTGTCATTGTGGCAGGTAAAAACCACCTTGCATCTTGGTATGAGAATAGCGGATTTCCAGCAGATTGGGCTGTTACTGCAAATGGCTGGACTACAAACGAGAGAGGTATGGATTGGATTCAGCATTTTGAGAAGCACACAAAGCCCCGGAGTGTTGGTGGTTATCGCTTGTTAGTCCTTGATGGTCATGAGAGCCACCACTCAGACAAGTTTGAGGAGTACTGCAAAGAACACAACATTATTACGCTTTGTATGCCTGCTCACTCTTCCCATATACTCTAACCACTTGATGTTGGCTGTTTTGGCCCATTAAAGAGAGCTTACGGTCGGCAAATTGAAGATATGATGCGGGCTCATATTATTCACATTACTAAGGATGACTTCTTTCCTGCCTTCCACGCTGCATTTAACATTGCAATGACAGAAAGCAATATTCAGGGAGGGTTCCGAGGTGCTGGGCTTCTTCCATTTAGCCCTAAGAGTGTAATATCTACACTTGACCTTAGGTTTAAGACGCCAACACCTCCAACCTCTCGCCCAAACACCGCTCAACCATGGGTTTCTCAGACACCAAATAACCCAACTGAAGCTGTATCACAGTCTACTTTCATTAAAAACCGAATTGCGCATCATCAAAATAGCTCTCCAACCTCAATCTATGCAGCTGTTGACCAGTTTACAAAGGGTGCATCGCAAATAATGCATCAATTAGCATTGTTAAAAGCAGAGAACCAAAACCTGCGACAGGCAAATGAAGTGCTAAGCAAGCGCCGGAGAGCTAAAAAAACACGACTACAGCAAGGAGGATCACTTAGTCAACAGGTAGCACAGGAGCTACAGGACGAGAGGGACGTTGTGCAGCAAGTAGAGCAAGAAGTAAGGGCATGTAGTGGTCAGAAGCCAAGGGAAGAAACCCATGCACGTCGCTGTGGCAAGTGTGGTGAGACTGGACACAATGCGCGCACTTGTCAGATTGTAATAGACAGGTCTGAGGAAGAGGACTCCGAGTAGTTTTAATTAATTTATATTGTTGTGGTGGATTTATCGCAATTCTTATGGGGTAGTCGCGATATTTTGGCACTTTCGCTTGTTTGGCACTTTCGTTATACATGCACGTTACCCAAATCGTTAACTGTCCCGCGAGGACGAAGGGTTACTGTAGCTTGCGATTTGAAAGGTTAGTTCTGCGTAGCTAGTTGGGCTAGTGGCTGGCAGTTGCGACATGGCCGCGATATAGCAAAATAGTTCCAGAGTTTTTTTTGTTCTTGCGACTAGGTAGTTGCGGGCGGAGCTGAGGCATTTGTGGCAGATATCCACAAAATAACTTGCTACTACGGTAGACAGCCAGTCTAACAGGAAGACACACCACCGAATAATTGTACATACAATAATACTGCTTGTAATTGTAGATTCTGGAATCTAGCTACGCCCTGTATTCCAAAGACTGACCCTAGCTAGTATCCTCCATAACCGCTCATTATAATACGATCTAGCCTTTACCTTCCTGACTACTCCGTAACTACCATCTCTATTCCTAAATCTCCCCATTAAAAAACCTAAAAGAAGGCGCACCATCCGATATACATACCCACTAAATTCTTCGTGCTTGTAGCCTGCTTGATCAACTCATCCACCTGCCCCTCCACCCCCAACGGAACACTATCGCCCTCCAACAGTCCCCTCATCTTCCTCCGAATGCTCTTTAGAACACCCTGCGGCGTATTTGGCACCGTCTGTAGGGCGGGATCACGCTCTCTCCTCTTCTTATTCTTGTTCTCCAATAAGTCGAGTGTGGGGTCGTATACGAACGCTTCCAATATCGTCATCAGTGTCTCTTCGTGCTGGCGAAGAAGCCTGAGTGAGATCTCTGAGGAAGTGCGGAAGGGTCCCTCATAACCGTAGACGCCCATAGCATCAACCATATTGTGCGTCAACCTGAATGGCACTCTCTCAGGCTGCTGAAAAGTGAGGCCTTTGTCGAAGAGGCAATTGAAGTCGACGTGAAAGGTCCCGCCGTTTCCTTCCTCGAATAGGATGTTCTCGCCATGACGATCACCCAAACCTAGGATTGTGCCCACCATTGACATCACGGCGCATGAGCGTGTGTACTTGAGCCTTGCAGTGAACCACGATGAAGGCTCAGGAAACTGCTGGACGAACCACTGATGGAATACGGGAGGTAGTTGTGCAAGTATTTTGTCCTTGAAGAGAAATAGCCTGTCATCATTTTCGCTGGCATCTTTGAGAAGAACTCGGAGTTCCGTATAATTTGGGGCGACCCCGATTGACTTGTAGAACCCCAAAAGGATGTCGCGAAGTGTTTTAAGGCCATCTACCCATTCGATTATGCCGCATTCTTCATTGAGGGGCGTTACTGCATATGTCTTTATGTACAGTTGGCGTTTGCTTGCTTCTGCATCTCGCTTCAGAGAGCGATTAATCATGCTATTGAATTCCATAAGGCGCTGATCTTTCCGGAGGTCATCCTTTGGCTTGCAAAGCAGCCCGTACAGCTTTCCATCTGAGCCTCTTGTTGTCAGCTTTCGAGGTCGCTGGAGAGAACTGAGCACCATGACTTCATCTGCAAACCCGTCAATTGTGATGACGTCTCTTGAGAAAGCCTTGTGTGATCCTACGCTGTCGGCAAGAGTAGGCAGCGTAGCAGTAAGCGCGCTCTCAATAGGGACCGCGAGTGGACTGGGACAGCACTGTTTTGGGTTGAAACCGAGATGCTTCGTGATGCTGACGAAAGTTGTCCGATTCGTAGGAAAGTCGCCAGCTGTACAAGCGACGAGGAGTTGCTGTGACAGTTTTTGCCCTTTCTGGATCATCGATTTTAGGTCCACCCCAGCTGGACTTAGTTTCCTCGACGATGAGAATAAGGTCTGCAGAATGCTTGCGCCGCGGGTTTTTCGCTCGGTTTGCGTCGATGTAATCACTGCAAGGAGAGTCCATAGTGCCTGTTGGGGATGTGTTGAAACTACCTTCACAATAATCTGGTGTAGATATTGATAAACTTCTTGATTTGGATGGGCGATTCTTGCGACAATCTGTGGCAGTGCCGTATAGAAAATATACGCGGGCATCTTTTGGACATATTTGTCAAACCGAAGATGAATAGATGCAATCTGCTCTTTCTGCTTAAGTTTCAAGGTCGTGGCGAACTCCTTGGTTCCATATTTGGCATCCACAGGCTGTGTGATCTGCATTCCGAGGTCCAGCCACAGCGTGAGGATACGTGGTAAGGTCTGATAGACGTACTTGGTGCCGTAGCTCAAAGAACGTAGATAGTTCTCGATAACCAGTCTCGCCATCTCTCCTGCGAGGAAGGATAATATTTGTTGATCCGAGGCCATTGTTTTCTCTGATTCAAGTAGTTTGTTGTAATGCCGGCCAAGGTAGTAGTGGCCTCTCTCCCATGTCATAGAAAGTTTTGCTGCAAACTGATATTGCGAACGCAACGCGGTAGAGTGTGTCTGTCCAGCGTCATCTTGCCATTTGGCTAACAATAGATGTGCTCGTGCAGCGAGGAGATTTTGCTGGTCTCGGTTCCCCTCTTGGCCAGTTTCCAGTTCCGACGGCGCTTGGTTATGAGAGATAAACGCATTGTTGTCGATAGCTCCTTGGAGGCTCTGAATGGCTTTGCGGTGATGGCCTTCTCTCCATATCAGCCGAGCATGCTCGATCATAGCAGAGTCGTCGCCAAGCCTAGATGCGTGAAGGACCGCATTGAAGGAGTGGTGGACGGCGTTCCCTTTACGGGCAACGCGAGCGCTTGTCAGCCACGCGGAGGCTATGTTGGCCTCGGTGAATGTATTCCTTGAAAGTTGCATTGCGGCTCGACGCAGGCCAAGCAGATACTGCTTGTCATTGAGGTAGGCACCTACTACTTCAAGCCGTCTGTCAAGGGACGATAGGACCTGTTGGCGCTGAGATGCATCGTCAGACGAATGAGCAACCATATCCAGCTCCGTCAACACGTGTAGCCGCAACATGGAATCATGGCAAGATCCCAGAGACGAGGTTGTATCCGCTGATAATGAGCCGGCAATATGCTCTCGTAGTGATTTTATTGCGGCGTCGAAGACGTTGAAATCCCGATCACGAAATGCGAGTAAGACGCGGCCAATGTTCACATTGAAATCGCCCGCGATTTCAACAGGTGCTTTGGCAACATACTTCTCCAGCATGTTCCACCGGCTTGTTGACCACGACGCTTCCGTTGCAAAAGGAAGCAGCTTTGATACAATCGAGCTGGATTTCTCTATGCCTTCGACGTAGTTCAATAGAGCATCATACTGGCCAGACTCCTTCATACAGTCAAGCAGGTTCACTTGCGCTTCAGCGTCGCTGGGATTCTCAGCCAATTTTATTTCGTACCAACTCTGCGCAGCAGTCCAACGGCCGGCCTTGCGGTGGCCAAGGACCTGCTGGTCAATATCAAGCACATATAGATGAGCCGAGATGCCTTCGATACCATCTGGCTCATCGATTTGAGTATAGATATCCTGGAGGCGCAGAAGCAGTGATTTGGGAATCGGCTCGTTATTTTTTCTGACTTTCCGTATGTGTGCTTCCCAATGGAAGAGGGCACGTGCATATGACTTGCACTCTACGGCACGGCGTGATATTATTTGGGCCGGGATAGCAGAGAGTAATTTGGCTACCAATTGAAGCCGAAGATGCCGCCTAGATTTCTCTTCCGTGTCGGAATTCGATCTCATCGACAGCAAGCCGAGAGCCGCCTTTTCCTCTTGTGCCCAGCGGGCTAGGTAGTCCAACACCCTAAATATTGCCTACCAATTGTTAGTTGACGTAGGGTATAAGAGATAAGGAACTTACCTCGCTACAGAGCTTGACATTATTGAGTTCATTGTGAGAATCAGTTGATGTGTTGTGTTCTAATATTGCCAGGATTTCGCCGAGGATATCGTTCCTGTCTTGGTCAGATCCAAGGGCAACACTGTGCAAAACAGTATAAGGAAGGAGGAAATTGGCGACTGATGTATCTTGAATCCTAATGACACGACTAAGAGGATCGAAAATAAGGGATGCATTGGCATTTTGTGGCTTCTGGAGTAGATCTAATACGAATGCCCTAAGCCAAATATTGTAGCACTTGGTTGAGTGAAATATTGGGTATTTAACGGGATTCGTTGCCATGGCCGTGACTGTATACCTTGAACTTAGAAACGGCGATAGCGTCATTCGGATGCTTTCAGGTAAACCAAGCCACTTCTTATGCAGCTTTTCTGCGTCGCCTGTGTCAATCTGATGACTTCGATATTGGGAAACAACCACTGAAAAATCGCATCTTCTCAGTAATTCTTGCATAGCGTAAGAGAAGAATCCTTGAGCTCTAGGGTTCGTAGCAGAAGCAAAGGCCTTTACAAGGACTTCTTGGAGGATGAACAAGACAAAATCGGTCGTGTCGGCTGAGCCATCGAAATTGCTGAGGACAACGATCTCTTTCCGTTTCCGAACTGTTTCGACTCTGTTTGAATCGACGCAGCCGATCATACCCAAACATTCACCTGCGAGTCGTGCGACATCCGTGTTGCTGTCATTGAATTGCACGCAAGCATCGAGGATGGCTCGGAGAAGTTCCCCGACCACCTTCTCTGGCTGCTCACTGACAGCTGACGCTTGTAAAAATTCCTGGTTCTTCTTGAGATAACCCGCAAGTTCTGTGAACCCTTGAGTTACAACACTGGCATGTTCGTGGCTGATTCGCCGGCTGAATATCTGATATTCTTGCTTGACATCTGGTTTTGATCTCATCTTGACAAGCCGTTCCTCACACGACTGCAGTTCGGGGATTTGAGCAAGAGACGGGAGAAGATCAGCATTGACTCCCAGGGTTTGAAAGCGCTTGGTCAATAGATATTCTATCAGCTTACAGGCATACTCTCGTGTAGAGCTGTCGAAAAGCTGCCAATGCTGAATGATGATGGCAAAGGTTGTTTCAAGCATGACTGAAACTTCTTCATCGTCGAAACTCCTGATCATAGTCCCCCATGCCTGAAAAGCGGCGGTGCGGAGGTGATCATTTGATAAAGCCGATTGTAAGCAAGCATGGATTTGAGGTAAAGCAGACCTAGTATGACTCTTGCCTACCTTTACCAATTCCTCTATTCCCCTCAAGGACCGCTTCTTCTCGTTTGGAGACTGCCAAACCCGCGTATCGTTGACAAGTTCTGAGAAATGGGACATTATCCCTAAGCTGTATTGTTCCAGAAATGCGCCAATTTTGTCCTTGCTTTGCTCGCCATCACTTGGGATGATATCGCAGTGTGCCGCTAAAATATTGAGGGCGTGTCGAACCTGCGATCACTAGTCAGCCATACGTTGAGGCGACGATAATCAGGCAGACGAAAGAAGGGGATTCTACGATGATTAGGGGTATAGAATAATGAACTTACTCGGGATTTCTTGCTGTCATCTTCATCACCAGCGTTCTTCAATAATTCTACCGCAATCTCTATTGCGCCTATCCCAAGGCACTGGACAAGGTCAATTTTGTCAAATGCTGGCGATACACCCCGAAGAAGTCCCATAATGAACGTCTCAATATCGGGGACTGCTTGCACAAGTAGGAGAGGCATGATTGCAACCATATTCGAAATAATGGCCTTGCTCGGGTCATCATCTTCACGAGCCTGGGATATCTTTGTGATGATGTCTGTTTTCTTAGCCAGAACTAGCCATGGGAGAGTATAGGCCTGCGTTTCTACCAAAAACTCCGGCACGCTTATGGACAGTAATTCTGCCATCAATTGCACTGTCTGTGGCCGATTTTGCAAATCACTAACAGCGGTGTGGGCAATAGTGCGCCAAAATGGACTAAACATTTGCCCAACAGGAATACCGTTCACTTCTGCGGTGCTGAGTATTTCGGTAAATGCAAGTCCAGAGATTATCTGGTTCGTATGTCCCAAGTATTCTACCAGCCTCAAGAGAGTCAGGTTTAGCTCTCGGTCTTTCGAAACTCTGGCTATTTGTCCCCACGTCAACACCCAAGTCTCGGTAAGGTGAGGTGCAGTTTCTCCAGAGAACTGCCTCAATATATTGATTGCATTGACTCTGTTTCTTCGCGTTACCACTACGTCGACATTGTTTCCATCCCTGAGAAAGGCAGGGACAGTTCGTCCAGCAACAATCCGAAGTTCTCGAACTGAGCTACGGAGGGAAGTCAGGCACCATTGGCCCAACACCGACGACTCAAGATCCATGAACTGAGCCCCTTCGAAATGGAGGGCAAATTTTCGCACGACCACCATTGCTAATACCCGTGGCTTCCTTGACAATTCGAAGTCGCCGACTTTGAGGAGGGCAGACAATATGGCGACAGCCTGTGTTTCCACCTTCGCTATGTCGGCGGACCGGGCGCTGACGGGCACAGATGCTGAGACGGGAGCGGAAGTATTGCGGCCGCTGGCGGCGTCGATGGTGGGTTCAGTCTTGTTGCTGGAGCCGCATACGGTGCATTCAGGCTCGCCAAACTCTCCATTCTTATCACGGAATACCGTCAAGGTATGGGCGCTTGCGCACGGTATCATTCCCAAAAGCTTCAATGCTTTGCAACGGTTTGTATCCTCGAGGTGAGAGAAGCAGTCTCTGTTCATTGTCAGAATATACAAATAGTTTTACGGAAGGAATACCGACGCTGCGATATGACTCAATCCATCCAAATCCGTTGCTTTCTGGGCACCAAGTAGCATGTATGCCTCTTCTGTGATTTCTTCCAATAAGCTATGCGGCGCAATTTTGCGACGCTTGATTTGAGGGGCACCATTATCATCATTGTCGACGCCAGATAAATCTTTGAAGCAGAGACTCCGAAACTGCAATTCCAGTGCCTTGTTCTCCAGAGTTGTACGGGCACTCTGAGGCGGTATGTTTTGGCACTTTTGGCGTAGTAGGAGAATACAGCTCTATAAAACCAATATTAGTATGACATTGTTGCAACTAGCATATAGACTAACCTTCAAATCTGCGTCATCGGGAGCTGCGGTCTGAGTCCCAAAAACAATAGCCTTGTCTAAAACCGGAAGTAGGTCAATGGCGACTGCTTGTGATACAGATCCGGAAGCTTCACAAGCCGATGCCAGATCCAACAGAATGCCTGCCAATTTGACTCGGTCCATTACATCAGAAACTGCAGTCGAATAGGCAACAAGCTCTGAACAGAGATGAGACAGAACTCGGTAGCCTTTGCGATGGGCTGGGGCGTCAATATGCTGGGCTTGAGACGATACAAGTCTGTGAACTGCATCGACAGAGATGGAATCATGTTCGGTTTTGTACGCCGCTGACCTCGCAGCAGTTGTTCGAAGCTCGAGAAAACTATCAAAAACCCATGCCATGTATCTGTGCGAAGTGCTCTCATAAAGCTGGCCGTCAACGAAGGATGATAATGACAAGTCGGCCACGAGGGTCAATAGTTGCTGAGCATGGTGGAATGAATCTGTCCCCCCGCGTAAATTATATGTGCATCCGTTCTCGACAAAACCCAATCGACTTTGAAAGGAGAGGTCGTCCTCGATCGTCGCCAGGGGAAGCGCTATAGTCGAAGTTGAAATCGCCGCAACATTGTGCAGCGAAGCATCAACACAATGTCTCAAATAGGTAAGAAATTTCAGACCGACTCCCCAGAACTCAACATCCAGGACCCTAGACACATCGAATGCGGTATGGAAGAGCTCTTTCACTTTCGGCCATAGCGGTTCGCAGCCTTCATTTCCAAGAAGTCGAAGTAGCCTTGGCCATAACCATATCCATAAAGGCACCCCTCTCCCCGTCCGGACCAAGTCATTCTGCGCCCCAACCTTTGTGAGGATTTCCGGCGTCTCTTTTATAGATGTAATGAACAAGTCGAGAACCTGGGCGGCATCGTCAAGGACCCTCTCCTTCTTCGCAAACGGATCGCTTTCATCGCTGCATACTGGACCCAAACGTGCTTTTGTTAGCACGTATACAACCCGATAGTTGTTTTCCCTGATCTCTTCGGGCGTTGTATGCTCATTGCGAGTTTTGTCGAACTGGGAGACTTCAGAGACGAGAAGTCCGAAGCTGTCTTGGGAACCTTGGAGAGAGGGTTTATGATTCCCCGAGAGTTTGTTGACAAGTTTGGCAGCAAGAGTCGAGGGAGGCGGTTCAAAAGCACCTGGGCCGGTGTCCATACTGTCGCCATTTGTAGCTTGCTGTCCTGATGGCATTCGTGATGTGTTGCCCATGATATATTTTTCGGGGCTCAAAACAGATGCGGGATAGGAAACCCCAATATCGATAACGGCGCAAGATCCATTGGGGAAACGACTGGCTGGCGCCGTGGGTCAGGCCGTACCCTGCAAGACTACCAAAAAAAGCTGTTATGGGTTCTTCAAGTGTCGTTGCTCGCCATATGTGGGGGACGCGGACGTGCTCTTGGTGAGTCGCGAAAGCACGTGATCTTAATGGCCTCGAAGGACTTTGTCTGTGCGGCGACTTTTCCATTGAAGCCGGGACCTGGACGACGATAATATCTATCCCGCTCTCCTTGACATTTCCAATTGTCGCTGCCTGCATCAAGAGGCTTTATATTTAGCAAGCCGGCAAAATGGCCATCTTTCAGTCCAAGAAATTCCGACCTTCGGCCCAAGCAAACACAATCGCAGCCAGGTACCGGAGTGCCCTCGCAAAGCACCCATTTGCGCTCTTTGGCCTCCCTTTCATAGCAACTATGGTCGCTGGGTCATTCTTTTTGACCCCCGCCACTGCGATTAGATACGAGAAGCATGATAGACGAGTTCAGAGGCTTAGCAAGGATGAGGAGTTGGGAATTGGGAAGAATGCAAGGAAAGTCGATATGAAAGAGGAGTACTATGTAAGCTTCCCTAAGGATGACTTTAGGAGGAAGGACTGTTAGTTAGAAGCTTTTACTGATTCGTTTACAGAAATTGGCCGCAAAGGACCTTGATGATTGGGAGCAAAAACGAGTCAAGAGATTGAAGGGAGAGCATGACGGCATCATCTGAAGAGGGGCACAGACACGACATTGTTTGCATACCGCTGAGACCCAGAGCACCGAAGGCACGCCGAGAACGAGCGAGCCTGTTTATTGGGAAACTAGACGGAATGTCTCTGTTTTTGAATTCCCAGAGTGACCACAGCGGCCTTGGAGTGGCTGATAAGCCGAAACCCAGCTCCATCACTTATGGCTCCAAGCAGGAAATATCCATAATATGCCTATAATATACCCAAGATAGAGGCAAACTAAGATTTTGTTGAACTACATCTTCCTCGTGTGACATTTTTAAATCGGCCGCGTCGCAGGGGTGTTGCTCGGTCTTACAAATACACGCGGGTTTTTCAAGTGTCCAACTTTTCCGAGAAGCAGAGGGTGGGGTAATTTCGACCCTGCTGCCTAGATATGGTATATACGACATTATTTACATCCTGACTCTCCATTCATTGCATATATTTTGACGATACGCAAGAATGATGGATTCTAGACTGCCTGCCGTCTCGATGCACCCAACGCAACCACTCTCGATCATCTCATCTACGGCACAAAGTATCGACGACGCATCCATAAATGAATTGGTGACTGGATTCATGGCGCTTCATCGAAGATGCATCGTGGAGGATGCAACGATCGCAACGTTCCTACCTCCCCTCGATGACAATAAGATGAGGGGTTTTTGGCTAGGATTGATCCAGCAATGTCGATCTGGCACCCCGGAGACTGGGGAAAAAGTGATCGTGTACCTAGTGAAGGATGGCGCCATCAGCGGTGTAGCAAGTTTGTTACTTCCCATGCAGTCAGACGGGGAATCATCGGGCGTGGGTAGAGAAGTTGATGGTTGACGGACGTCCAAGGCCGAACTAGAGGGGATTGCGATTGAGAAGGTGAAATGGATTTTGGTAAGTCCTCTGGCTATCATACATTTGCAGTACTGATGGGACGAAGCTGCTTGATACTGAGAAGGGGAGTAGGCCGAGCGGTGTATCCCAAGCTTGGTTATGTCGAGTATGGCACAATTCCGAATTACTCGGTGAGTCCTGATGGACTCGTGTTGAGCATTTCTAAATGGTTGTTTTTGAAACCTCGTTATTCCATAAGACGCGCACCTACTATATTGCTTTAAGGAGATTAACTGTCTTGTTTAGGTTTTTGTTCATTTCGAACTGTCGAAGCATATATATGACCTAGAGACGCTGATATCAAAGCTTAAAACTTGCGATTATTCCTTAATCTATTAGTTGCTAGTGCAATGTTGTATTAGGAGGGAGCTAAACCACCAACTAACTAAACTACGAGTTCACGGCCTAAGAAATTATCCATTAACAAAAGGACTTTCCGTTTTTGCATCTCTATCTTGTAATTTAGCCCAGTGTTCGGCGGATACATATCCGGGTAGTATCGTGAAGCTCACGGGTAGGGTATATACCCGGCGACGATCTGACGGGTAGGGTAGGGTATATATCCGGATACATGAGGCTGAATATTGTATATAAAAATAGAATAGCGTATATAAAAAAGAATGAAGCTTTTGATAATAGTAGTAAACCCCTTTCCGCGAGCCCCCTTTCCGTGAGACCCCCCCTTTCTGCGAGTCCCTATTCAGGTGCTTCATCGTCAGCATCATCACCGTCGCTATCAGCCTCCCGTATTTTACCCCAATTCCGTAAGCAAAGTAAATATCTAATAGTTGGCGGTGATAACCTATTCCGCTTCTTTGTAATAATATCACTACCATTACTAAATACTCGTTCCGATGCTGCAGATGTTGCTGGAATAGCTAGATGATCACGAGCAATACGGGCAATAACTGGATATTGGTATTGCTTTGCGCACCAATATTTGAGAATATCAGTATGCTCACCGGGCCGTGGTTCAAGCATCCAGCGCCTCCATTCTGGCTCTTGAAAAGCCAAGCCTTCTGACGCAAATAGATCTTCGTCAGAATCAGGTTCTTGATCTATTGTAGCAGTAGCACCTATTGCTTCTGCAAGAGCTGTTTCGTGAGTAATTCGCTCCGTCTCAAGGTGATACTCTCGCTTTTGGTACGTTCTACAAACGTCTTCGAACTGCGCTCTTGCTCGTAATCTTCGTGTATCGTCTATAGCATTTGGATATATCTTCTTAAATACTGTATGATTCATTCGTGGGTCGCAAATTGTAGCAACAGCTGAGTGCTTACATTGCCGATTCGTTGTAAGAGTATAATACTCATTAAGCTTTTGAAGCGCAGCTCCACAAGCTACTCCGATCGTAGAGCTTCTACCAAGCTCTTCTTTTAGTAATGTGACCTTATTTATTATCTTTAAGTAAAGAGGAATTGTAAAGTTGAGCGTTGGATATGAATCGCTTTGTAGCCGTCTTGACGGCTTTAAGAATACTAAGAATAATCGTTCAAGAGCTTCGATAATAGCCCAATCGTTGCTTGTTAACGCAATATCCTTCATACTGATATCAAGCTTCTGCGTAGAGCATACTGCAGTAATTGGTATTCGAAGCTTTATAGCTGTTTCAAGCATATAGTACGTTGAATTCCAGCGTATAGGCATACCAAGTGATAGCTGGCGTGGCTTCTGGCCTGCAGCTTGTATCTGCTTCTGTAAAGCATCCTTCCATGCTCTTCGGTTTCGAAAGACATAAATATGCCTTCGGAGCTTCTCAAGCGTAGCTGATACTTCAGTAGAAGAGTTATCAATACGCTGCGGAATCCGGGCAAGCCCTTGCTGACACCAGTACGCTTCTGTTTCTGTATCCGGGCTAGCTTTCAAGCTCTTTAGAGTAGCTTGAACTGCAAGATTGATAATATGAGCAATACACCGAACGTCCCCTTCCTTTACAGTAAACGTCCATGGCTGTTGAATAGTCGTCTGCTGCTTACTGGCTATTTTCTCATATTCTGAAAGCATCACAGTATTCGCTGAGGCATTATCCCGCGTACAAGTAAATATAGCACCTGTAATTTCGAAGCTATCTGTTACTGCAGCTAACTCTTGAGCGAGATATTCGCCGCTATGAATTGGCTCTTGAAGGTGGATTACATCAAGTAATACGCACCGGTGCTGCCACTTTTCATTAATCCAATGGCCTGTGACAGCAGCGTACTCTGTATAGTTCCGTGCAGTCCATGCATCTGTTGTAATAGATATCCAGCCGCCATAGGTAATATGAGCCTGGAGTTCTAATTGTAGCAATCCTCGGTGATATGAGAATTGCCGCTGTAGCTCTCGGTGTAGTGTTCGCGACGATATCGATAGAGTACTTGGGCTTAAGAACTGTACTAATTGATGGAACGAATAGCTCTCAATAAGTCGTAAGGAGAGGTTATTTGATACAACGAATGAGAGTAATAACTCTCGGTATTTCGCTCTACTATTTGATGCTTGAGCTTGAGCGGGCTGGACTTGCGGGTTCCGCGGCCGTGGCTCAAAAAATGACGATGCACTACTTGATGGGCTTGACGGCGTAATTGTATGACCTTTCATTGTATATGCTACTGTTGGATGCTTCTGCGTATAGTGCTTCCAAAGATTACCGGTTGAAGTCTGACTTAATAGCTGCGGAGTAGGTGAATATCCGCAGCCTGGTTGTAAGCAAGTTACTTTGACTGTAGGTGGGTTACTATCAAGTATCAATCGCGAATATAATAGCTTCGTAAATAGTACCGACGACGTTGGTGGCAGCATTCGTCCTGGAGGCTGAAGCCGGAGCGGTGTAGGATTAATATCCTGTTGAATATGAATAGGGGGCGGCAGCGTTGGCAGACTTGGCTCATTATGAGTATCATAGCTATTATAGCCCTCAGGCTCCGTTGGTATATCTGATAACGACGAGTCGCTCATTCTGAGGATAATTATCACTTTATACAGCATCAATATAGATCTCACGACGTTGGAAAAAAGAGGTCTTGGCTGCGCTTGGCTATTCTTGGCATGTATCCGGATATATACTCGAGAGTATCCGGATACGCCGGATACTCCTAAAATATCGCCGGGTAGGTATATACTCGAGGATATACCCGGATACCACGGGTATATTCGTATCCGTACCGAACACTGATGTAGCCACTAGAGATACTCTTTGCAAATTAAGCCTGTCATCCACTTTGAGTTATTATACTGATATTCGATTTGAAGCAAGAATACAAAGCTCGTCTATCTGTTTGATATTATCTAAATTGTTAATTGCTATAGATCCTCCTTTACTATGACATACAAATTCTTTGATTTTAAACCACCATTTAGGTTGTTCCATATTGTAACGCTAACTTCTAAACGATAGAAGACACAGAGGTTTCTTACATAAGGTTGACTTGACAGAGGAGGCAGGGGATTAAACACAAAGGCTTTCTAAGTAACACGTTACAGTATTATAAAGAATACTATATTAAGTTAAGCACGAAGCTCCTATCTAAGGGAATACTATCTACTTATATAGTGGCGTCTGTTACTATTACAGCTCACAGCTTGTCACAGCTTGTTACGGTTGTTACGGTTATTACAGTTATTACGGTTGTTAGGGTTGTTATGGGGATTACGGGTGTAGCCTTAGCCACCAACGTTACAACCGCTAAGCAGACAACTGTATGTTATGAAGAATAGCCTCACCTTCCTTCCTTCTTCTCCTTCTTCTTCTTCTTCTTCTCTCTTTAGATTCAATCTAGATTACTTTTCCTGGACTGGCATCATGACCTCTATGACCATCGTAACAAAAGATTGAATCTCATTTCTTCATTAGCTCATCTTGAGCAAGAAACCAGAAACCAACACAAACCTTCGAGCAACAGAACCTCCAGAACCAGAAATCGAAACTCAGACCAAGACACTGGTCTTTAGCAAAGAACTAGATCTAGATACAGAACCAGAAAACCCAGACACAAATACAGCCAGAATCCATTCCAGAACTACATTGTAATGGTGGGTGCACCAGATGTGAGAATCTAGCCACCCAAGGAAGGGATAATTTTACTAAGACAACACACTGTCTTAGAAAAAGAGCCAAAGGGTCGTAGCATAGACTATTCCACAACGTAGCAATCAGGTGTATCATATAGTGGAGTGGTTTAGACAAGTTGTAACAAATGTTGAGTCTGAGAACTCAGGGATAAGTCAGAGATTAGCACCTCACTGACTTTTCAGAAACAAGGAGTAACAAGATCAATGCTTGGAAGCTTGGAAAAGACGTGGAAGTATGTGATAGTCGATTTACTGTATTGTCTGCTTGCCCTTTCTTAAGGAAAGGGCAATCCTATTTATGCTAAAGGAGTGTAGTTCTCTCATTTTCCAAGACTTTCCATGACTAACCAGGCTTGGTAACTGTAGTCGACGTAAGAGAATCCCATAGAACCATCCCCTAGGTTCCTAGCCTATAGGAAGTGAAAGGAGGTCCAAGGTCAGAGTACCCCTATAGACAAATTATGTCATAACTTAACCAATCTTGTGGGTAACTAAGGAGCGATGACGTGTAATGAATCATAGAGGGTTGTAGAAGCTTTTGGGGCTATGGTTCATGTTCCTAGGCCTCTAGTTGATAGAGATATGTCATGTGTAGTATTAGCCCAGTAACTAAGGAGTGATGTCATGTAATGAATCATAGAGGGTTGTAGAGATATGCGATGTGGTCATATCGGCCCAGTAACTAAGGAGCAATGACGTGTAATGAATCATAGAGGGTTGTAGCAATCGTTGAGTAGTATTGCTCTTGTTGTTGGTGTGACAAGCCAAAATATGTATAGTGACTTGTAGGGTTGAGGAGGAGATTTCTAAGTTTGCTCTTGAGTTTGATAGCAAACTGAGTGCAACGAATGTCAGTATGACATGTATCTAAGGAAATACTATCTACTTATATA